TAGCCTGAGTTCTCCCCCTCGCTACAGATCAATGTGTCCTGGATCCATAATAAAAAGGGGGGAAAATGACAGTGCTGGCAGGTCCAGTTCTCTGATGGATAAGTTGCCTTCTACCAAATCAAGATTTGAAGCCTGGCCCAGAGTAATAGGCCACTAATCAAATAGAAGAGTGCCTTAGGTAAGGAAATATTCTTGATTATGCAGTGTCTTAAAGATGGAGTGAATGGTTGTTTAAATATCTTGAGATGTTTAGAAGTTCTGGGCTACAAAACCTTATAGTATCACAGCTTACAATTCTGATTAACCCAGATTCCAGTGGCATTTTAGAATAATAAATCATTTTTCTTTATAACAGTTTTGCTCTCCATCAAGACTAAAATGTAATCAGTTCCAACTGGTCCACACATGTTAATTCCATAAGAAATAGCATTATCTCACCAACAAACATATATTTCTGCATTATCACCAAAAATTGTTGTAAAACTATAACGAAAAGCTACTTTTAAAATAATTTTATGTCAGCATTATATTATTTGATGATGAATTAAGAAATGTAGGTCTCAACTTATTTTCATATACAATACACAAAAATATCCCTTATTTAGCAGAATTTGTATAACCCTTTTTATTGTAGCGAAGTAATATTTTATTTGCCTAAAGTGTCTTTAAAATGTCAACACTGTGATGGCTATCTTATGTATCTATTCTTCTTCTGCCCTATTTTCTTACAGAATGACAAAAAACCACATTCAAAATGCAAACAGTCCGAGATATTTGGATAGGTTACTTACATCATACTTTGCAGTTCAGGAGTAAAGCTTGTTGATTTCCCTGCCCCCCTTGTGCTGCTTGAAGAGGCAACATTTGACATTGGGCTAGCTGCAATATTGCTCATCTGAGTAAACAAAAAGAAACAACAGAGCTTGAAAATGTATTTAATTTAATAAACAGAGGATCTAGGAAATGGCAGCAATTATAAACCACTTCACAAAGTACATGTGGTTTAAAATATCCAGCCTAATATATACTATGTTTCATGTTGACATTAACAATGTATTTTATTCAGTGCTACCAGCAAGTTATTTTCTCTACTACAGGACAAATTGAGAAAACCACACTGTTCATTTTAGTAACTAGATATATAAGAAGAATCAGTAATAATTGTAATAGCTTCACCTTAGTGACTGCATTACAGATTCAGAAGAAAAAAATTCAAACAAGACCTGAATGAAAATACAATACACGAAGAAGTCTTTTCAATGTAGAACAGAAGCCTATTTGAGTTGTCACCTGCATTATCCACAAACCACAAAATGTGATCAGCAACCATTGCAACTAACAGTTACTGAAAGTGTGTGTTGGGTTTGTATTTGTGTTTATTCCTCTCCACTGGCTTTGTTTTAAAACATTTAGGAAGCCACTTATGGGTTCTCAAATAATTCAAGAATCATCAATGCAAGCCTGTCTCAATCTCTATTCAAGAGCTCACATTATTATGGGCCATATATGTGGCTTTCATAGGCCAAGTCTTGCAACAGAAGCATATGACTTTCAGATCACGCAGCCAGCAACCAAATCCCATAGGGACTATATTCATGCAGGTTTTGTCCTTGTAGACAGACAAAACGAATTAAATATAGCTGTGAAGTTAATGTACATAACAACTTAAAGTGCATTAAACCTAGCTTTCATTCATAAGGAAAGAGGCCTTAGTTTACTGTAGCTTAATCCTCACTGGAATTACTAAGGTCCTTACAGCAGTGAAACCAAATACTGAAATCTTTAAAAAAAAAAAAAAAAAAAAGTCAGTAAGAAACGTGAATGATCTCAACAGTGGAATGATCAGCTTTGAATGTGATTTACCCACTTACACTATTTTCAGCTTTATGTATGGCCTAGTGTCGGTGGTACGACATGAACAAAAAAAATTATTGTAACATGTTTATGGTTTTCCTTACAGAATTCCTGTAAAATTAAAACAGTTTATTCCAAATTGAAACATGCACACAGTTCTGTTCTAACCAGATCACATATACTAATTCAGCTCAGATGTTTTTCCTCTCTAATAAAATGCGAGTCAAAATATCTTTAAATCATATAATCTATAATCAATTTACTGAAAACAAACAAAAGACAATGTGTAACAGATATTTTATGAAGACCATCAAATAATAAAATTAACTTGATAAACTAAATTAATACAATTAAAAATAAACACACAAGTTCATGTTTAAACATCACTCATTACAAGCAATATAAAAAGCCAAATATTATCCAACTACATTTCTCTACACAAAAATGTCACATATTAGTCTTCTATGTCTTGTTACCTCCAAACAACACTTAGCAACACTAAAACATCACAGGTCTTCTGATAAGGAGAAGACAGAGAATATTTTTTTCTCCTGTCTGGTTTGCTGAGAGCTAGTAAACTTTCACTTAACCAATATCTGCTCATTTCTTATGTTGTTTTAGCGGTAGTTGTGATAATAAAAAGCAGATGTTAATATCATTTGTTTTCAGTCAGATATTTCCCACCTATAATTTTACCTTTAACCTATGTTCAAAAAAAAGTTTAATAATACAAAGTGCATACCACACCTCTCCACTAGCACTACATATGGTTAATTACAATATGTTTTCATTTTTTAAGACTTTAAAGCTTTTGAATACAACATGTTGAGATATTTTCAATGAGTACTAATATAATTATGGTTATCTTAAAAAGGTTAAGGATATATAGCACAGAGCTGAATCAAAGAAATAGTGAAACTTGTAATATATATCTGTATCTAAAATACAAGAGGTAAACTGTTTAATATTAATACTTTCACATAAGTTAACACATTCTATTTATTTCCCAGAATATTGTAATTTAGTTTCCCAAACTACAAACACAAGCACATGTGTGACTTTACTCACTTATTCAGTTCCTCTGAAGTCTGATTTTAGTCATGTGAGCAGGGGCGCCCAGTTTTATGTATTAATAGGACCAGTGATTTGGTCAGCAGTTAGCATTAGTCTCATACCTGAACAGTGAAATCAGTGAGTTTTTAAAAATGCAATAAACTTGTCTTCGAGTGTGTAAAAAGAGTATGTGCAATGAGGGATGTTAGTAAGTATTGACCACTTGCTTTCCCCACCCACTTGCTGCCTCAAAGAGAGGCAGGGGTGGGGAGCAGGACTAAGTGCCAGGGGGAGCCGGTTTAAAAGCCAGTTCCCCCCAGCACTGTCTCCACAGTGCCACCTGCCCTCCTCCCCATGCCCGCTGCCTCTATCAGAGGCAGTGGGGACTGGGGGAAGCAGAAGCCGGTCCCAAGGCTCACGGTGGGCAGAGGCTTCTCTGGCAGCAACCCCATTGCTTCTCTGGCAGCAACCCCTCTGGTCCTCCCCATTCCCCCATGGACAGGGGCTACTGCCACCAAGCAGTCCCTGTTCACAGCAGTCTGGGCTGGCCGTGTACAGGGGCTGCTCCGGCAGCAACACCTGGCTGCCACGAACAGAGGTTGCTCTGACAGCAACCCCTGCTAGCGATGGACAGGGCTTGCTGCTGACAGGGGCTGCTTCTGGAGCAGTCCCTGCCTATGGCCAGCCCTGGCTGCCACCAACAGGGGCTGCTGGAGTCAGCATAAGCCAGGACCGAGCAGTCCTAACTCGCACTAGTCCAGGACCCTGAGCCTCTGCATTTTAAATGTAGTAACAGCCTTGTGGCTCTTACTACATTTAAAATTCAGAGCATCAGCATGGGTGGCTCCTGGAGCTGGCACAAGCTGGAACTACTCAGCACTGGCTCAAGCCGGCTCCCTGAGCTACCCCCACTATGGCTCTGCAGAGTGGTCCTTATCAACTAATTGTGTAATCGATACAAATTGTATTGACTACACGCTTAGCCAGATAATTGCAATTTATCATCTTTATGTGCAACCTCTACCATGAGGCTTCTATACACTGGAGGTGCTACTGGATTAGAATAACGAAGACCCACAGGCTTGGAAATTTAAATCAAGAGTATATTTAGTCTTATTTTTGTTCTTCTTCGTTTTGCTTCTTGCTCTCTATTTTATTTCATCGTTTATATAAGTTAATGTCTAATTTTAATAGCTCAAAATACGTATATACACTCTAATAGTAATGTCAAAATCTTATATTAAAAGGTCATAAAGAAGTAGAAATACAATTCAGTAAAGTTATACAAGGCATTAACACTAGCTTTTGGCTAGAATTTTCTTGCCCTTACAAATTTTGAAAGAATGCATAAGAATAAAAGAACAGCCATACTGAGTCAGACCAAAGGTCCAGTCTAACCCAGTATCCTGTCTTCTAACAGTGTCCAATGACTGTTGTCCCAGGGGGACCGAACAGAACAGGAAATCATCATTCATAATCTCTGACAGAGGCAAGGGACACCAATCCTACCCATCCTGATTAATATATATTGATGGACCTATTCTCCATGTATTTATCTAGTTCTTTTTTGAACTCTGCTAAAGTCCTGGTCTTCACAACATCTTCTGGCAAGGAGTTCCGGGGTTGACTATGTGTTGTACGAAGTACTTCCTTCTGCTTGTTTTAAACCATCTACATATTAATTTAATATGGTGACCCCCTACTTCTTAAGTTATGGGAACAAGTAAATAACTTCTCCTTACTCACTTTCTCCACACCAGTCATGATTTTATAGACCTGTATCATAACCCTCGCTTAGTGTTCTCCTTTCTAACCTGAAAAGCCCCAGTCTTTTTAATCTCTCTTCATATGGCAGCTGCTCCAAACCCATAATCATTTCTATTGCCCTTTCTGAACTTTTTCCAGTGCTAAGATATCTTTTTTGAAATGAGGTGACCACATCTGTACGCAGTATTCAAGATGTGGGCATACCATGGATTTATACAGAGGCAATAAGATATTCTCTGTCCTATTCTCTAATCCTTTTGTTAATGATTCCTAACATTCCGTTGGCTTATTTGACTGCTGCTGCGCATTGAATGGAAGTTTTCAGAGAACTATCCTCAATGACTCCAAGATCTCTTTCTTGGGATATAACAGCTAATTTAGTCCCCATTATTTTGTACGTATAGCTGGGATTAAATTTTCCAATATGCATTACTTTACATTTATCAACATTAAAGTTCATTTGCTATTTTGTTGCCCGGTCACTAGCTTTGAGAGATCCTTCTGAAGCCCTTCAGTGTCTGCTTTGGGAATTAACCAGGGGTGGCCACCCTGCAGCGCCCCTTCCCAACAGCCCCCGCCCCGGCTCCCCTGTGCTCACCAGGGCAGCAATTAAAAATGGTGGCCATCAACAGGCGCCTGATTGGCCAAAAAGCCTAAGCTTGTTTCTCAAAAGGGGCAGCCTTTTTTTTTTTTTTTTTGGTTTGACAATTATAGGGGGGCTTTCCTTTTTTTCACTGCTGTTTCAGCTCTCTTTGTTAAATGGATTGGCCACCACTGGTCTTAACTATCTTGAGCAGTTTAATATCATCTGCAAATTTTACCGCTTCACTATTTACCCCTTTCTCCAGATCATTTATGAATATGTTGAATAGGATTTTTCCCAATATGGACCTCTGTGGGATTCCACTAGTTACCTCTCTTCAGTCTGAAAACTGACCATTTATTCTTACCATTTGTTTTCTATCTTTTAACCTGTTATTAGTCCATGAGAGGACCCCATCTTATCCCATTATAACTTACTTTACTTAAAAGCCTTTGGTGGGGGACCTTGTCAAAGGCTTTCTAGAAATCTAAGTACTATATCCACTGGAGCCTCCTTTTCCATGTGCTTGCTGATGCCCTCAAGGAACTCTAGTAGATTAGTAAGGCATGATTTCCCTTTACAGAAACCATGTTGACTTTTAACCCCAACAAATTATGTTCATATGCGTGTCTCACAATTCTGTTCTTTACTATAGTTTCAACTAATTTTTCTGGTATTGATGTTAGACTTTCCTGTTTGTAACTACCAGGATCACCTATAATATTATTCAAGTTAATGATTAATAAGATAAGGCCCCAATCCTGCAAGTACCCATGCTTAATTTTAAGCATGAATAGTGCCATTAACTTCATTGGAAGTGCTTGTGTGAGTACATTTATATATGCATGTGTCTACAGAATTGCAATCTTTGGGCTTATTCAAAAATTTAAGTATATGGTATGCAGTCTTATTTCCCTCCCACTCCCCACTCACTCAGGCTTTGTCTATATGACTGGGGCCGTCAACCTAAGTTACACAACTTCAGCTACATGAGTAATGTGGCTGAAGTCGACATACTCAGATCAGCTTTCTGCGGTATCTTCACAGCACTAAATCGACAGCTGACGCTCTCCCCTCAACTCTGCTTGCTCTTCTCATTTTGGTAGAGTACTGTAATTGACAGAAGAGCTAGATGCGAAAAATCAACCCCTGCTGCATCAATTGCTGCCCATTAATCCAGCTCATAGTGAAGACATATCCTAACTAAGGCCCAATCAGGCAACCTTTGTTCATGTTATTAATTGTTACATACAAGAGTATCCCTTACCAGTATTGCCAACTTTCATGGTATTTGATGCAGTACTTTAAACTGCACACACTAGAGACAAGTGATTATGTGACAATCTCATCTTGTTAAAAAAAATCTAGCCCTTATGGCTGCAAAAAAAAGCTTGAAATTGAGTTGCATGTACCTTAACACTCAGAAACTAAAAAAAGACTTAAATAAAAGTTACATCTCATGAGTTTTGAACTAATGATTTTTTAACATCTGAGGCTGGCTATACTGCCTTATATTTACGTAACCATACTGAAGTAATTGGACTCTTCCAAAAAAAATTATGTGCCTAGGCCACAATCCTGCAAAGGGTTTCACCCAGAAGTAGAACTTTCAGGGTTTCATTTATACTCATGTGTTTTGTCAGCAGAATTACTTGCTAAGGCTCCAGTCCTGCAAACACACGTGAGCAATCCCATTAAATCCAATGGGATTACCTGCCTTCATAAGTCTTTGCAAGATCAAGGACTAGGAGCATACCAGCTCTACCCATCCATTAAACCACTGTCTTCCTACTAAAACCAAATTATTTAACTTTCAAATCAAGCAGGTGTACAGAATTTTCTTGACACGATGAACCCAACAGCTCATCAGGCCCTGTCATAGCCTTTAAAATAATGACTTCCCCAACCCACATTTTGTTTGATGGTTTAGATAATTAACTTCTTTACACATCAAAGTCCCATCATCCGCATGTTCTATTTCCTTTCTTCCGGACATTAAAAACAAAGTCAAAAGCAGAAGCACTCTCAAATCAATTTTCTCCAATAAATACAGCTAACATGGAATTAAAAACCTACTGTAATCTTCAATGGGTCAATGTACTACAGTTGTTTTAGCTTTGAATTGAAATACAGCTGTTTGCCATATTCCACAAAGTGAATTCAGATGTTCAGATCGGGTCACAGATTATTTCAACATGCCCTAGTTTAATCATGAACTTTAGCAAGGAGAACATAACTTTTGATTAACAATATTTAAAACTAGAAAGTATAAGGCCCTATCTAAATCTATGTCATACTTGCAAATTATATTTTCTCTAAAAAAATCTAGCAATCTTAGAATTATAAAGGAAAGAAAATAAATTTATGTAAACAATTTCAATCAATGAAAACGTGTACAAAAAATACCGATCCTGATCTCTCAGTGTCTTTGACATAAATTAAATATACACTTATAGAGGAAACATGGCAAGTAACTCCCTCGCACCCTAACAACCTTGAGTAGATAAATGCTAAGACTCGTCTGGTTGAGTTCAGGCCAGAAATTATCACAAAGTTAAGAAATATTGGAAACCTCCTGTTCCATAGCCTGTCCATTGGGTCTATGTTCTTCCTGTGTAATTCCCAGGTGATATGGTCACACCAGTAACTGACTAATCTTCAAGGCACAGCACATCTATTGACTCAAGCTTTTGGGCACATAAGAGATGGTATTTTGCACTACCTCATAAGCTTGTATAAATAGATGAGGCCTGAATATCAAAAAATGTGGACTATTTCAATCAAGAATGGAAAGGAATCACGTTCCTAAGTCAGGGAGGCCTCACAAAGAACATGATCAGCATATCTATCTTCTACAGAGAGGTACTCAAGTGCCGCCATCAACTGCTGTTCCGGCAGCATCACATGAGGGTTTCTACCGAGACAAAGGATAGGTTAAAGAACAAAAGGTCTCCAAACCCTTCATTAATTAAATTAAAAGTTACTGATTTAAACACCACCAGAGAAAACTTAGCTTTCATCTACTCCAAAACTCACTATGCAGCTACAGAAATAGAGTGAGATCTGAATTCATTCAGCTTTATTTAAAGTCTCTTCACAATGGGAGGAATGTAGTTTCTAACAGAGAGATGACTTTAACTGGGTTGTTTTTGCCCTACCAGCCTGACTGTTCCTCCATTTACACTAGACTTTTACCTACAAAACTCCTCTGAAGTCAGTATCATTAACTATGATTTACATATAAGAAATACAAAAAACAGCTTATTGTAACTTGACTAAAGAGGCAAACTATATAAAACTTTACAAGGTTCCAAAAAAAATGAGAAGTTAATTACATGTTCCCATTCAGCAGGTGATAAGGAATGTGTATAGCCTATTTTGAGTGCAAAAATAAATTACTGTTAAAAGAAATTATTTCTGAAGACTTGCATCTAATTTCTGTACTGCCATCAGCCCCTCATTTCACTTCTTTCATAACTACATTTTGCATATGATCTGAAATAATGCAAAATGGGATACATTTTTACTTCCATAAACACCATACAAAACAGGAAGGAAGGAAACCACTGAATGCTAAGATGCTTTGACCAAATGCTGTATTAAAATTAGTGTTGTTGTTTTAAACATTTTAGTCTGCAACTTACACGTAAGTCAAAATCAGAAATGTCCCCACCAAATATTGTATTGTGTGCAAATACTCAGCACTGTGCAAGAAGTAGCACAAGAAGCAGTCCTGCTCCTTTGGTATTTAGGAAGTAAGGTTTTCATTATGCACATGTATTCAGATCTTTGGTTTTATCTTATCATGCAAAAGAAATGTTGTCAGCTTCACAACACAGTTCTGATACATGACTAGGACTTCAGAGTCCTATGAACACGAACATACAAATAATAAAAATCAAACAAAACAAAAACAAACACACAAGAAATTACACTTCATAAACTAGTCTATCTAGTTTCTAAAAAGTATTAAAGAAAATGGACAGTCAAAAGAATTGTATGCTAGACCATATATAGTGTTACACAGATACTATTTGAGTGGTTCTCAACCTATTTACCATGTGGGTCGCACATGCAGCTTTTCATATGTTATATGGGACACCTCCACACAATATCTATCTCAATATAATTTTACCTGTATGGCCCTG